ACACACACACACACACACACACACACACACACCCACACACACACACACAGAAATGGGCGAGACAGAAGCAGAAGGTGGTTCTCTAAAGAGACAGAGGCCAATTTCAAGGTGTTTAGAAGAGGAAGTGATGAGAAGATAAGTTTATTTTCTATTTAAACATAAAAACAACATTTTAATAACAGCTAAAGGTGACATAGATACTTTATTATGGTATAGTATTTAAATATATGCCTGAAAAACACATAATATTGGCCCTTTAAGTAATGATAACTAATGGATTTTACAGGTGTTGCACACAAGTGCTGCTTAAAGCTCTATCATGCAAAGAAGAAACCTTATGTAACCGTCCAACCTGTTATCAAAACAGTTAAAAAGCTTGCATCTCTGTTGGTATAGGGTTGTATTAGTGCTATGCAGAAAAATAATTTACAGGTTTTTATTCCAGTATATTTTCCCATCAGACATCTTTTTCAGCTCCAGATGTTTACAGGCTGATGGTAAAAGAAGAGAGGGTGTTTCAGTGCAGTAAACATGACCCAGGAACTACTTTTTAATGTGTTGCTGCTATAAAGTTCAGAACAACCGTGTTTTTTTAAGATGAATTGTGCTGTTTGAATTTACGAGATTTGCAAATTATTGTAAGCTGATCCAACTCACTGCTCCTGTTCATTGTTAAAAAGCAAAGAATAAACCATAAATGCCAGGATGTGGGTGGGGGTAGTTAATGAAATAATATGCACAATCTAGAATACAGTTTTGCAAACTACAAACAAAAAAAAATAGGTCGTGGTTTTCTCAGATCAGCTCGCTGTGCAAAGACTGCAGCTGAAAAAGTGCAGATTTTCTTGCAATTTTTGAGTCAACATCTTGTTTCCCACAGTGAGATTTTACCTGTAAGAGTGTGAGACAGGTGTGTGGTGGCCATGTAGACCCTAATGAGCCACTGACAGCTGGTTGAACACTTCTGTAGACCTTTATATTTCTAATACAAGTTATAGATCCAAACATTTGATCAACCTAGAGTCATATCAAAGTAAAAGGGGGGTACTTGTGTTTGTTCTTGACATTTGCAAACACATTTCCATATTTACACAACCACTAACAGAAAGACATAAAGGTGTACATAAATAAATACTGTGATATGAAATGAGTTCCTGGAAAAACTGTGAAATATTTGCTGTCCAAATTTAAATAAAGATATGAATTTCCTGTTTGTTGGAAATCACTGTGCTCTACTACCACCCCAGATATGAGTCACATATGTCTAAAAATGGCTGAGTAATTGATCTGTATTACAGGATTGGACATTATTATCTGCTATAGCAGGCATGTCCAACTCCGGTCGGTAGATTTGTCCCTGCTTCAAATAGATGATTCACCTTCTCAGTTTGACATCAAGGTCTGYAGAGGTCCATTAATGAAGCACTCCTTATAAAATATGGCTTAAATTAAACACACATTTACATTTTACATTTACAGTACATTTACATTTACTGTACAAGCCCCTTTCCACCATCTAAAACTAAATGATGACACGTGGTACATCATAGTACTGAGATTCAGTCGAAATCTGAAACAACTGCTCCAGGAAACTCATGAATAGAATTACAAGCCGCATTTTTGTGACACATCATATCAAAATGAGGGTTAAGTCAAATTTTGTCAAAATGACCTAATTACTATTTTAAATTTCTGGCTTTAAAAGCTACAGTTTGATACCTGGATCATTCTGATATCATCAGCTTATCCAGAGATATGACTTCATTTGTCTTGTTGGTTATGATAATTCGTTACTGTTTAGTCTGAATACTAATTTTATGTAAATTTATTGAGTCATTTTTTATGTTAATATAAAAAGAGAAAACCTCATACAGTATAGTATTTGTATATTAAGATTTCCCAGTAGGAAAGAAACAAACCTTCTTAAAACATCTTAGACATTCACTCGTAACATTTTCATGAAATTCACATATAGGAACTTATGGTGGGCACTCATGGCTATAGGTGGCC